TATATATATATATATATATATATATATATATATATATATATATCAAATATATCACATCTGTGTGCATAAGGGAACTCTCAGAAATGGAAGACTGTGTGGGGTTGGGGATGGCGAATGGAAGAGTAACCCAAAATGCTAGGACCAGAAGCACTTGAGGAAGACTACTGATTATGCCTGTGAAAGTGACATCAGCTGTCACCTCTAACTGAATTATAATAGTAATAGCAAAAAAATTAGTAATAGCTTCTTAGAGATAAGAAAACATAGGTCTAGCAAAATTAGTTTTTACATAACTAGAGAGTGAAAGCTGATTCTTCCTTTCCAGGTCTTTTCCCCCCCCTACATTATTTTCTGGAACTCTTATTTCCTCTCTTACTTATACAAAGAAACAAATGCCTTTATTGCTCTGCCTGTGGCCAGGGGATCTGACTTCAACCTCAATAATGCATTCATTTCCAAGCCTCTGACTCTACATCAAACTAAACCACCCATCAACACAAGTTTTTTTCTGCAATCATAGGGAGAGGCAATGAATAAATTATTTAGGTAGTCTGCATGTGAAGTACTTGAAAACTAGATCAGCAGTTTGATGCGGTGATATATATCAGCAGGTTCTACTGGTGAAATTGTTTTTATACCAGGCAGGTCACCAAACTCCTGGTATATACTGAATGAGGATGCTAGGTTCATTAGATCTCTTTGATTTCTGCAAATCCCAACAATTCTGTCCCTCATATTCTTTTTTCTTTTTTTTTTAATCTTCATCTGAGGGTATTTTCCCATTGATTTTCAGAGAAAATGGAAGGGAAGTGGGTTGGGGAGAGAAATATTGATATGAAAGAAACACATCAATTTGTTGTCTCCCCAGCAGACCCCCACTCAGGATAAGGTTCTAGCCTGAAACTGAGGTGCATACCCTTGACTGGGAATTGAACCTGTGACCCTTCAGTTCACAAGTAAAAGCCCTACCACTGATCTCCAGCTAGAGCTGTTCCTTATATATTGATTAAACCTTGAGATTTTTGTAAGACAGCTTTGTGTGTTTGTTGCTATTCTTAGGAATTTTGGGGTTGTAGGATGTTGCAGTGGAACATAGCCATCTTTCCCAGGAGAAGGGAGCTTTAAGCTCACAGACCTAAACCCCCTCTGTTGACTTGTAAGCCTATATGGAATACCTCATGTTATGGGTAACCTTTTCATCTCTTGGAAGTTATTTCAAATAACAGCTTCCCTCCAAAAGCAGCCTCCTATTCCCTGTATTGGATTCCACTGTGTTTTTACTTTGCTTCTAGCATGCTGATAACAGATTTAGCCTTTTCACCTTCACTGTGAAGAGGGAGTTGTCAATTTAAAGTAGATGACACAAAGGTCAGGCATTTTTCTAATGGTATTTTATGCTTAATAGTCAGGAAAGAGGGTCCTGCATACAGTTTTCTTTAAATTAATTTTCTCTCTTGGTTGAGCTTCTGTACATTTAGAAATTGGATAAAAGTGAACATCAAAAAGTCCAATTTTTTTTGACTACTTACATCTCTTTCCCAGACTTCTTAATGGTAAACTTCCTAATGGTAATGGATTAAATTTGATCCCCAGTGTGGGGTGGACAGGAGGCAGCCAATCAATGATTCTCTCTCATCATTGATGTTCCTATTTTTCTCTCTTTCTCCCTTTCTCTCTAAAAAATAAACTCACACACACACACACACACACACACACACACACACACACACAACCTATTTCATCCCACAATTAATTTGACAAAATTTAGGATGTCTATGTATGTCTATTGAGATATGGTTTTTCATATATGATGAAGTATATCAGAATGACCAAAATAAAATATCCTTTATATCTTTGGATGAACTATTTTCTACTATTATTCTTGAACAATAGTATTTTTTGTAATGTTTACATTTGCTTCCAGTATGACTCTTAAAATGACTCAGACTTAAATTAAATATTAACTAAATTTACTATATGCAACCCAGCTATTAGGGAAATGTAAAAAAATAAGCACATATTTCTTTTTTTATTGAGGTTTTACTTATAATAAAAGAATAAAAACAAATATACCCACAAATGATCATTTGGAAATGATGCCATAAGGGAGTATTATTCAGCTGTAAAGAGGATGAGGACTATCTCTTCCTATGTGCAGGTAGGAAAAAAGGTCCAATATGTAATATATATATATATATATATATATATATATATAGTGACCAGGGACATCATCTAATAAACAGGGGCATCAGCTAATAAACAGGAAACTGTGTATATATGTGCATATGTGTGTGAGTCCATTGCCTAAGCTCCTTGAGTCTCAGGTTTTGCTTCTGTGTAACAGCAATAATGATATTTGCCCCAGATGATTGTTATGAGGATTAAGGAAAATAAAATTAGATACATGAAAGGTTTTGGTGCTGAATCACTAATGTTCCCTAATCTATGTGAGGAGATCTATTAGGGAAACTTGAGAACTTAGAAAGAAATAAGAGAAGCCTTGTTACAGAGTTCATCAGCAGAAAATTTGAGTGAAAATGGGTTGGGCAAAAGCAGCAGTTTATTAATCTCTTACAAACATGGTCTTACAAACATCATACATTGCTGGCACGAAAGAACAGACACCATCTCATACACCATGCTTCCTTCCAAATCACTTCTATTGAGTTACAACATTAGAACAAGTCAGTTACTGAGTTACACAGTTCTTCAAACGTGAACACCTCCCTCTTAGGGTGGTGAGATTGGCTAATCAGACAAACAATTAATTTACATGTTTAATACAGTACAGGATTTGTAACAGAAGTCAAGATATTCACATTAATATTGTAATACATTATAAAACAGGACAACTTTCAGAAGATGATGGGATCATGTGTGTCCCTGTCTGTTTCAATTGCTTTTCTGTTTTTCCTCTGTCTTTACTTAAACGCAGTTGCAAGTTATTTTACTCAACTTTTCACATTCAAAAACACTTGTAAGATTTAATAACTAAAAACTATTTACAAATTATTCATTGCAATTTTAAAAAGTATTTGTTGTTGGTTTTGTTGTTTTACTTTAAAATAAAAATAACACCCTCCTTCAACAGTCATACTTTATGTGGTACCGCCACTAACTTCTGGTGGCTGTGAAGGATCTTAGGGTTGACTCCTGACAACTTTCCAAAGCTTTAAAATATACTATATTCCATGGCCCATGTATCCAAATCTACATACGTAAAAAGGCCATTGCCTTCCCCAAACCACACACGAACTACAATTCATTTCATGTTGCTTTCAGAGAAATGTTGAGTGGACCAAGATGTTGTGAGGTGACTTTGTGGAGGGATGGAGACAATGATGGGGGAATGGTCTTTTCAATCCCAAAGTCATCTTAAAGCACAAAAAAAGAGGTCAGTTTCCATTTTTGTACATGTAAAACATTTTCTTTACATTAGGCATAGTCATAAAAAGCATAAAGAAGTTGTTTTGAAAATGCATTGTCATAGAATTTACAAACACGGAGATATCAAACACATTCTCAAAAACTGCTATAGTACTGACACAAAACCTGACTCATAATGTAAAATTTTCAGTAGACTTTATTTTCTAACTTGCATATTTAATAATTCAACCTTACCCGAGCGAGTTTCACCCATAGTTCTCTAAAAGTTCACATATAGTGACATTACCTCAAGTTCATTCTTTCCAAATTGTCACAGGGCCATGCTGTACTCTTGGTTTTTAATGATTTTCAGAGCCCTGGCACTGGAAAACAATGTAAGACACAATTCCATCTATAAACTGTTCCACAGAAAACAGCTCAAGGCAAATTAGCCTAGAAAAGATAGTGAAACATACTTTATTGTGCTAATTTGACAGCCTAAATATATTTTGTGTGAACATATGCAAATTAATTAGGCTTGCTACATACTGCTTTTTAATCATATCAGTTTGTTAGCTGAAGTAATGCTTTCTGTCTGGCAATGGTTAAAACTTCAGTCTTTTTTGTTCGTTTGTTTTTAAATAGAAGGTTAGTCCTTTTTGCAGAACAACTCAATGAAGACTTGGTTAGCCATGTCCTCTCTATGTTCAAGGGCACACCTCGAATGTACACTGACATACTCTACGTAGTTCCTATAAGAAAACTGCATTTCTAACTGGATTTCTACCTGAAGTTCATTTCTTTACCCACTACTTAATTCAAAAACTTCACAAGATAAACAGGGCTTTCCTAGACTACACTGACACTTGTGACAGGCAGTGAATAATTCAAGGCCTTGATGGTCCTGATGTGAGATTATATTTTACAACATTTGACTCACATGTAACCTTAGGGGGAGAGAAAAATCATATTTCAGCCATAGTGTTCTCAACTCAGCCCTTTGATAAAATGATTACTCAGTTTGCTCACTGTTCTTTTGAATCAAACCTAAGTTACTCCTCTTAGGATAAAATCACATCAAATAATTACAAAACAAAGATCAATGACTATATATTTTTATATAGGAAACCATTTGCACATCACGCAATTAATAAAAACGAACTAGAGAATTCTTCTTTAATATCTTTGGATCTAAAGAAAAATTATTTCCCCACCTGAAAAAAAGTATGAATTTTCATAAGTGAAGACACACTTTTCATTTCTAAATCTTAAGAATCCCATTGATTCCCAGTGACATGCTCCAATGAGATCATGACCTCCGGGAGCCCACCATAACCTGGAACTCTACTGCTTTATTCGTAAAATGCTTGACTGTTCTTATTTATATCCCTGGTAACCTGCAGGAGGGACTAAATAGGCTTATGAAAATTTATCCAATGTCTCTAGGTAAGGGGAAATTTATCATGATAATTTACATTACTTCCTGGTCTGCTAATTCAATCCATTTCTAACAACAACAACAACAACAAACAAAAGGAAGCTTGCTGTCACAAGCTTGCAATTATATATCAGAAAGAAAGAAAATCATCCCTTGCCTAGTAAAAATCATTAAGTCCCAATGCATGGCCAGGATGCTAACCATCACAGAGCATGTGCCACTTGGCGATCTGTCTCCTTGGATAGTCACAGATCTCCTTCCAGTGCTCTCCACCGGTTCCTTCCGCGGCCGCTTCCAGGACCAGCCGCCCGATCACCTCATTGCGGGACCCCCTTTCGGAATCCAAAACCAGAAACTCAACACTGATCTCTTCAAGACCCTCACAAGGAATATCAAAGACAAACAGTTCGTTGAACACAGCATTAGGGGTGCATTTCTTCACATGAGTCTTCTTTTTGGAGATTCTCTTTTTGGCATGGTACAGGTTTACTTTGACGTAGGGGTCTGCAATGGGAAACAAGAGACATTACAGGGACAGGATCAGTCTGGGGAGCTGGCCTCAACACAGCTGGGCCCTCAGAGATGACTGCATGCCAACAGAGTGATTACAGCGAAAATGAGGTAGAATAGAGCAAAGATATGCATAAATCTGACTTTGAACATAACTAAGAACATGCAACATAAGAGAAAGTAGTTCTAAGCGAGAGGATGAGGAAGAAACTGTAATGTCAGGATGAAGAGATAACATAAAGGGGAAGAAAACAGAATGTTCTGATGATACATTCTGAATACTAATAACTCATTACAGAGAATGAGATAGAAAGAAAAAAAAAACATGAGTGAACATCTAACCTTACTGAGTTGTCTGACTTTGGATAAGTTTCTCTACTGTGTTGAGCTTGGGTTGCTTTGTCTGTTGAACAGGCATTTATAATTCATGGTGACAATGCCTTTTTAGGCTTTAATTTTTTATTCTTAATCATGGACATTGATAATAGTGTGGTGATTGCTGGGGTGGAGGGTGGTGGAAGTGGAAGAGAGTATAGAGGGATAAATGGCAATGGGAAAAATAAATAAATAAATAATAACAAATGAAAGAGTTAGGGTTTGAACTCAGATAATTGTAACTCATAGGTCATATGTTCTTTCTTATCTTGCCATATAACAAGATTGTTTTCTTAAATTAGTCACAAAAATGAAAAAGCTAATTCTGAAAGCAGATATATAAGAAGTTAAAAGGAAACATAATAAAATAATAGAAGTGTTTGGGTAGGCAGGTTCATTTAAAATACAAAAATTAAAAAACTTTTCTCCCAAATCTTTATTTTACATCCATCACTGTATTTTTGGCTATGGTGTCTCATCTCTGCATTTATCACTGCTTTCTGCTTAACCCCATTCAGACACCTACCTACAACTATACATTCTTTGGCTTAGATCTTAGAATACGTAGTTTTGTTCTTGCTAATGGCATTGGCTCATATTATTATTCTATAAAATGATAAGCAGAAAAACTATCATGTCTTTTTTTATTATGAATAAAAAGATAAATCAAAAATCATGATTATGTTCATTAACTATTTTGCCCAATGTATTACTCACTTATACACTGAGCCTGAGTCTTTCAGAAGAATTCTTACCTGAAAGTCCAGACACATCAGATTTAGGCAAATGTCGAGCTTTTAGAACAACCACAGTGAGAGTGTTGGTGGTGGACTGATAGCAGAGTGAGATCAGCAACTCACCCCGTCCTGAAGACTTCTAAACAAAGAGAGATGTGGTATAAGCATGTTTATTACTTTTTAGTTTTTAAATGTGTACATTTTACATCAATATAATAGCCTTGCTATTTAAGTGTAACTTTTCTACTTGTTTTTATTTTAGTAAGCTAAGGAATCCAAGAGTAACAAGCTTTTATGCCATATCATCACCTCTTGAAAACAACTGTCTGCCATCTTCTGGTCTCTTCATGTACTGCAGGATGCTAAAATGGTCATTGAGTTAGCCACACCCATTATTAAAAATGTTTAAAATAATATTTAGAGCATAGCTTACACAGAAGTATGTTTTACTTTTGCTCCTTAAATGAAATCTATACTTTTTGAAGTTAAGAATAGTAATGTATTATCTTATCACTTGAATCAATTTGTATAGGGCAAAATGACTCATGTCAAATTTGACTTTATTTTAAATTCTTTAACATTGAGATTATTGCAATTTGAATTCAGACCAAATGAAATATATTCTGACTTTCATCACTCTCTGGGTCCAGAGGAATGATGGAGTTAATATCCTCTGCCACCAACCCCCTTCCAAAATCCTTATTTAATCTAAAGAGTAAATTAAATATAGGAGAGACTTGATGCAATTTTTAATGCTTTATATGTGGAGAGTACGACAGGATCATTATTTGCATAATATTTAAGTCTGACCTGTACTTTAAATACATTACATAAGATTATCAAGAGCTCAGAGTACCAGTTTTAGCTGAAAGTAGCAAAATGTAAACTTGTATCTTGATTATAACTAAGAATGATGGCTGGGCCAGAGCTCCTAAAACTTCAATACACATATTATTCCAAAAGCTGGCATGGGGTAGCTGTGTGAATACACACTGAAAGAAGAATAAAATACAGGCCCAGATATACTGTGCCACTAAACAGCTGGTGATTCAAGCTACTTAATGTTTTTGGACCTTACCTTGAATTAAGTTCAACAAAGAGACAAAGGCAAGGATATGGTCAAAATGAGCTTTATATTATTTTGTGAAATTATGCCTTAGAGACACAGGTTATTCTAAAATACCACAATGAGTTTGGTATTCTGTATGTAATGTGGAAATAGGATTAAATTTGATTAACTAATGTCTTATCATTTTGTGATAACCCTAGAATCAAAGTAGTACAGCTCTGCAGGCAGAGTAGCTCACTTTCTGTCATACAACATAAAGATGAACATTTACAATTCAATATGATGTGATGTCTCCTCCTTGAAAAGCAATCCTATGAAAAGTCAATACAGCTTCCAAATCCTCAGGAGAAATTGATTTAATTTTAATTTTAAATTTAAATTTCAGATTCAATTATGCTGACCTTGAAACATCTTGGTTACCTTGAGCATGAATAAGAAATATTTTCCTGCATTTTAGTTGAAGTGGTATCTTAGTCAAATTGCCTATGATAGAAATTACTAAAAATATTTATATAAGTGATATTTAAATATCCATAAAGGATGCCTATGTGTTTTATATAATTAAAATGCCTTAAGCATTCAGTGATGAGTTAAACTTTCCCTCATCTACTCTATTCCCTTGATCCTGATTCTATTAAGATTAATAATAATTAAATACGGTAAAGCTGATATATACAAAATTTTATTATCTTAATAAAATCCCTAGATATATAAGAAAACCTACATTAAAAATTGTTTATAAATACTTTAAGAACTAAAACAAAAAAAAAGAATTACCCTAACATTTCTCTTGATAATTTCTCTGTTCATTAATATTTTTCCATCAGACAATTCAATTCCTGCCAGAGGAATAAGGACCTCTCCAATGATATCATCTCTTGAAAACCTGTCAAAACTCAGAATTGTGAAGTGCAAGGCCAACTCCTGGATCTGGGTGTAGGGGATCCCATAGAAGGTGAAGGTCTCATCAAAAGCTGGGTCCAAGGTCTTCCTCAGAACTCTGGTTTTCACTTTATGCTTCTTCTCTGGAAGGATGGTCATTTTGATGTATGGGTCAGAGGTCATCGATTGCTCGTCCATGGCTGGCAAGCCACGTGCTTCCTTGATATTGACCACAAATGTTTTCTTCTCAAAGTTGTACTCTAAGGAGAAGAAGAGGGTTCCCAGCTTCTCTTGTTTCTCTTCTGAGCTAAGTGAAGTGCTGGACTTTAAGCTATCGGGGGAAACCCCCTCTTTTTCCCCTTCTGAAAGGAGCTTTGGGGTCACATTCTCCAAATCAGGAGGGCTGCCACCTTTTAGGTTTGTTTTGGGAAAGTTGCCATTGAGATCTCTCTTCTCCAGGTCAAGATGCAATGCATTCTTTGGCACAGCCAGTTTATTCTTTACTTCATTTTTGTCGTCAGCTCCAAACTTCTTTTTGCTACTTAGGTTTTCAGGATAAATATCAACCCCCTTTAACACATGCACAAACTTATATGGAGGAGTCTTGTTAGACTTGGATGATTTTCTCTGACAGCAGATCCATGCAAACAAAGAGACTGTGAAGACCAGGCCAAATGCGCTGAAGATACCCACCACTGTGGGGATTTCATCTGAAAAAAATCAAATGACCAATAATATACATTAAAGGGGCAGAGCTAGAGACACGAGCCTACATAAAAGCATCCTAGAGCTGGCGATTGCTGTAAATAGCACAGATCGAATTACTTTCTAACTGTTCTGGGTATGAGTGATGTACACATTTCCACATCACCCCCAGGAATAAACACATCCTTTGTGTGGCACACACACAAAACAAACAAACAAACAAACCATACAGTATGATAGAAACTTCTTCGTTTCAGTAGTTTTCATAAAGGAAATGAAAAGATAAGACAGGGACTGGGTCAGGTGTTGGGGAATGCTAAATGATACTGACATAGCTTTGTTTTTTACAGATGAGTCAACTACAGCATGCTGGGTCGGTACAAATTGTATCAGGTTCTCATTGACATTTTGAGGCTTTCTAGAATCATCAATTCTTTCTGACTATGGAACTTTAAATGCACATCCTTCAGATACTGAGAGAATCTGAATTCTTAGTAGTTGTTTATTTACCCAGGATCCAAACATTTAGAAACTCAGTGATTCAGGTAATTTTAAGAAATTGTGAAACATTACCTGCCATTGTCACAGACTCACTAATAATGTCCATCCAAATGATGAGACAGTGGTAAAAGAAATGTACATATATTAGGGGAAAATAATTTAAAAGATGAACAACAGGCTAATAATATTACATAACTTATAACACTACAAACTCCTTGTATATCAACCCTGAATTCCCCAAACACTGAATTATCTGAAGTACAAATTAATTACACCTAAGTAACTAAAAACCAAATGGTTCTAAATGAAATATCATTCCTTAAAAGATAACGAGAAGAGTGAGTATAGATAATTTAGAGTTCAATTTTATCCATAACTGATTTTTCCTAACATATTTCCACATAGAAAATGATAATCAAATTGAAATTGAAATTCTTTCCTTGAATGCAGGAACATTAAGTTACACTGACATTAGTTACATTGATTATGCATGAAGCTTATCATGTTCCATACGTAAGCATATTTCTTCCACAAATAATTAGTAACACTAAAAAAGTAGTGAGAAATCAGTATTGCTATATCTGGACAAAATGCTCCAAATAGTCAATGTTTAATATAGCAAAAGTGAATATAACTAATGTAATACTATGTGCATTTATTTCCATTCCAATTTATTTATTTTCTTCCCAAACACTAAGGAATAAAGTTAAAAGCCCCAGTCAGAAAAGGGTTAAGCTTGTTTAAATAACCCCTGAAAGAATAATCTTTTGTTAGTCCCCTTCTCCATTCCCTCAAATCTTCTGCCTGTCTACTTTATAATCACAAAACTAAGCTTAAAGAATATACATTAAGCACTAAAACATTAAGAAATGACAAATAAGGACAGAAGTGTCTAGGAAGATTAAAAAAAGCAAACAAAACAACAATAAAATATCCTGTAGTGCAATTATATCAAGAAACTAAATCACATAGAGATGAAAAATAAATCTTTCAATTCCCCAAATAGAACAAGCAGCAAATGCTACAGTAAAAGAATAAGGCTAGAGATAATCAGCTAAACTTAGTACGTATCAGCTTTTCAGTTCTTCCTTCTATTCAAGTCTTTGTGGGGGGAAAAATCCACTCTTGGACTCTAATAAAACAAGGCCAGGAAGCAAAAGCAAAGTCATGAACTAAAGCAAAAAGAACAATAAAAGCCATAGAAAATTATTTTTTAAGTAGACGGATACCTGAGTGTTAGAAAATTTCTGACTTTCAAATCAGAAATTGGGAATAAATATCACAACAATATAAACTCAGTCACCCAAAGGTAAAGGATGTGAAAGAAACTCATTTCTGAATTAGTATCAGAAATCCTCTCTATTCAATCCTTGTGTCAAATGGCAGAATATTCAGTAGGACATGAAAAGACTCACTCCCTGTGTATTTCCCACTGATAAGGTCTTAAGCTTTTGATTGCAAAAATCTCCGTCATTTCCCTCAGTTTAATAACAATTACCATGTATTTTAGATAGCATTCCCTATTCACAAACTTTTATAAAATTTCTTGTGCTTTTGAATACTTGTAAAGTAAGTAAAACTCTAATCTCTTGTCTTTGGAATGTAATGGGACCTAAAGATAGGTTTTATTGTTGTTGTTTTTTAATTTAAAGAACCACATCTCACTTTATTTATTAAAAGAAAAAAGAGCAATGGTGTCAACATTTGGCAGAGAAAAAGGAAAACTGAACTGAAAAAAAGGAGTACTAACCCTAGTTTCCAGTAGCTTTTAGCTAACTGACCTGCAACACTCCCCTCATCCTCTGAGCTGCCATTAGCTCACCTGTGAAAGGAACTGGGCTCAGCAACTTCGTGTCAAATATCCCTTTACTTCTATCTAGCATCATAGGATTCTGTCTCTTTCACTAGCAACATATTTCAAGAATACAAGGAACACATATCAAGGAAAACATCCTATTACAAACAAGCACTCTATAATAAATATACACCCCCAAACCCCCACTATATAAAGTTGTGTTACGTATGCCAAGATCAAGCCCTTATGTAATCACAGGACATTTGGCTTCCCCTAAATTTACCTATAAATAAAAATCACCTACAGAATTCATGAAACCAACAAGCAAACAGACTCCCTTTCCTTCCCCTACTAGCGCGTGCTGCAATTTCCAGAGCTTCTTCAACCTTTCAGGAACTTCCTGGATGTAAAATAGCCCCAGCAGAAGGCAATGTTAAGGAGCAAGATGCTAAGGAGAGGAGAAACAGCCTACATAAGCCACGATTACCCGTTTATTGTTCTCCTTTTCCTTTCAAATGAGCTACCAAGTAAATATATACGCAACATCCCGCTGGGGTTGGGGGAAACAAAAACGCAGCCCACCCAGAGTATTCAAAGGACGACCGCATTTATATAAGTTGACTAACTTGCTTACCAAATTCTTCCCTGCTGGTAGCGATCGGAGCCATTTTTTGCTGTGTGCTCTGTCCGAGGTGCTGAACGGGAAACTCTCTAGCTCGGTTCGCTTGCCTGGATGGAGGCGCAGGCTTTCCCGAGTGCTGAAAACAACAGAGCGGCGCCGGGGACCTAAGCCTGGACCGGGGAGGAGGCAGAGAGGGAGGTCCGCTCGCCCTCGCTCGGTGATTTGCCGCCCCTGTTCCTGTTTAGATTCTTCTGAGAAGCTGGTCTCTGAGACTCCAGACGTGGCTGAAACCCGAATTGACGCAATCCTGACGCTACAGGGTTGAAATCAGCACCTGCCCACCCCCTCGCCTCCTCCCTCCAAGCCTCTCCTCTCTCATTTTTTTTCTTCCTTCCTCTCTTCTCTCCTGAGGATTCAACACACGCACTCATCGATTATTTTAACTGTTGGACGGCTGGACATTAGCTTTGCTGTTCGGTGGGGGTGACTCAGAAGCACATGGAGATGAGTCCTGAAACTCATCTCTGTCAGCTCAATAGAAAACCGTTGGGTCATAGAGACCCCCAAAAATGTGACTGAGTTTTTAAAATAACGTGATCTACAGAAGCATGTTAAGGGAAGAGTAAGAAAAATCTCTGCATCAAATAACCCATGGTAAAATGCAAGAATACATTTTCTTATTTTCTGAAATTTTTCATTGGTATTCCTATGTTAGAAAACAACTCATTGCACATTGATCTATCTGACATAAGGTAACAGTTTGTCCATTATGATGACTCATTTTCTAATAAATTATTAGTCTAAACATTTTGCTGACGCTGTTGCTCTAGCTATCTGTCAGCTCGCTTCCCTGTAACATCTGACATTTGACCAGTTAGAGTACATAGGAGCAGATGGTTATAATCCCTTCTGTATTCAGACTCACTCTCAGTTATGACTTTTGCATATAATAAGACTGCTGCTAGAATAACATTACTGGTAAAAAAAAAAAAAAAAGACACATTGGCTTCTAATAGGGTTGTGCCAAGAACTAAGATGACATTGATAACTATGGGTTATTTTGAAAGAAAAGCCTCCCCCCCTCCCCCCGATCTGATGATCTTCCTGGGGTAGGAGAAAATATGGTGTCAGTTTCTGATTAATTTTAATTTGGAGATTGTGTGTGTGTGTGTGTGTGTGTGTGTGTGTGTGTGCTTTAAAACAAATGTTAGTAATTTTCCAAAGGAGAGAATTAAGGCTGTTACACCATCTACCAATTATTGCTCTGCAAAGAATTCTTTTGCTGTGGAGCTCAGTGAGCAGATGAGATTCAGCTTGTGCTGGGATGGGGGAGGAGGGCACTGGGTGCGTCTCAGAAAGCTACTGCACAAGTGAGAGGTTCGTTGCCCTTTGGTGAGCTGCCACTCTGAGCGTCAGGACTGTGTCTGGGGAGAAACTGGCTGCAGCCTTTTGCATCATGGAAAATTTTACAAACCAGGGTTTTCTTTCCCTTCTATGGCTCCCACATACTTACATATTATACTTGGCATTTTCACATTTTTTCTAACAGATTTTTTTTAAACCTTGTATCTTCATGCTATGAAAACACACAGACTAGTTTACTGTATTTAATTTTTCATTGGCAGAGTTTGTGATCTGTGGCCTTATCTTTCACTTCATTCAGACTGTTTGTTCTTCAGTTAAGCATGCACCTGGTGGGATGGTCGGTAGTAATAAACACCCACCGGTGAGATGAAAGAGGGACATTTGTTTGTGTTGCATATCACAGGTAGACAAAATACACAGTGTGAGGTTTACTAATACATGTGTTTTCTAGCCAAGTTATGGCTAACATATGGTTAAACTCATTTGTTATAAACATAAATACCTCATGTGTATATTCCATATAAATTAGTATCTCATTAATTTTACCTTCAAGTGGTAAAATGCTGCCATGTAAAACCTGTCTAGATTGCTTCAACTCTGTTTTCACAAAACCCTGCCCCACCCTGGGCTATCTCATTTCTTGGGACACGTGGTGATAAGATTACCTCTTGCCCAGAGCTAATGCTATTGCGGGTGTGCTATTTCCTTGCTGCTTTAAAAGC